GCAGTAAACTACCGGCAAAGAAAGAGCTCTGTGCAAGGATCAATTCTGTTCCTGAAGGACCTTGGTTGAATTAACTGGGTCAAGCTAGAATGTGGACTGATAGCGACCACAACGTTAATGTTTTCGTATATGGGTACAAAGTTACAAGTTTCGTTCAAGGCCAAAAGACAACGGTGTCGCATCAAGTGACGGTTGTACCGTAAGGAAAAGTCGATACGGTACTTACTTAATAGTGCTCAATTGTTTTGATAATTCCAATCTACAATTTTCGCAATCTCTTTTGCTGGGTAGTATTACGAGCAGGTTACGACGATTAATATTCAGAAAGAGTTATTTGTGTTTTAGATACAGCGTTATACAGTTTTTATTTCTAATGTTTCCGATGGTTTAATGCAATCTGTGAATTTTTTACTTTACATTTTCTAGCGATTTATAATCAACGCCACAACTTTGGTATTTAAAGTTTTTTCTAGCTCGTATAATAAACGCGCTGTCTAAATATACGGAATAACCGTGTAAATTATCTGAGTAAAAACAACTGACTGGAAAGTTTCGTATTCAAGAAAAAGAAAGCAGAATAGTTTTACACATTTGCCTGTATTTCAGTAGTGTAGTGTCGTCCGCATAAAGCACACCAATTTTAGGTTGCATATAATGAGGAATAGTTATTTGTTTCATTAGTACAAAAAATGTCAGTTTTCGGGACGAGGAAGATAGTTGCTGGACGACGCGTTAACGGAGTCCAGCAACCTTCCGAGTCCTGAAAACGCATTTTTTGTACGAATAAAACATAAAATTTTTTCTCCAACCCCCTTTACTTCAAATTATATTCGAATTTAGATTCAGTCACAGTTTCACTACTATAGTATAAGAACTTCTGCTTTCTTGTCCTCACGTGTCATGCCACTCTAGTTTTTAGGTTAACTTATAACCTATTCGTTCTTACTTCTTACTTCTCACCTCTCGCGGCTTTGTAGGGAGCAAATCTTGAGGTAGCATGTTCTGCCGTTTCTATAATCTCTGGCGGAGTGCAATCCATGTCGCTATCAGTTTCAGTCATTTCTATTGTATACACAATTAATATTGTTATATTTTGTATTGAAATAAAAAACTTACCATACAGTTTTTTTAATAAAATTAATTGCAATTAACTTTTTCAAATTTTGAATTCAAAATGACAGATAATAGTGCAATGGGTCTGAAGTAGATGGCGTTACGCGCGACGGCGGGTTGTATACGTCATTTTCAATACATGTACATACGTATAGGTAACATCATTATTTGCACTGAATACGCAAAAATATTTGTTTTGTATGTATAGAAATATCTTACAACCTGCAATGTAAAACGATGTCAATGTGACATATCTCAGTGATTGTAATTTTTTAATTGACCAACTTTCAAGGTCAATTTCTTTTTGGTACTAGGACCAAAAGTATCCACTTTTTGTACAGTTGCCATGGTGAAAGCGATTAATCCGCAAAACGTCAATTTTACGTACCGAACACTGTCACAAAATAGCGTCTTATTCAGGTGGTTGGAGAAAAAAATCATTTATACATATGAGGAATAATAGTGGCCTTAAGAGGGAACTCTGCGGGACGCCATATGCAATAGGATGCTTCAAAGATTTAATATTCTTATAATAGAGGAATGGTTTTCGATTACTCAAATTCGAGTAGATTCATTTTACGGAAGGTACAGCGTTTTCTGAATTAAGATGTCAAAGTCAAAGTATACTTGCAATCAAATCCTTTACTGAGATCACACAAAATTCCTTAGCTTTCAAGTTTTCAAGACTCAGATCGAGACACAGCTATATTATACTAATAAATACTTTTACCCAAAATCGTCCTGAAACCTTCATTTTCATGCCCACTCTGTCAGGAAATTTGAGTTTCCATGACGGAGACAGGGCAGACTACGTTTCCTGCCGCTTGTCACTTTACTGGCCGCAGCTTTCACTTCATCGACCGCATTTGTGACATTTATAATGACTCCTGTCATCACTGACAGATTGACATTAATCAAAAGTTTTATATATAAATTGAAATGATATATTAAAATACGATTTCGGGTAAAATTTAATACAAAACTCGTCAGTAAAATGACATTACTTGACTCGGAAATTAAAGTACTCGGCTCCAAGGGGCCTCGCACTTCAATATTTCTTCGCCAGAAATTTTCCTGACTTTTATGTAAATAACTGTAAAGGTTCTAAAATTATCGATAAGGCTGTAGGAGACTCGCGAGCACTCTTGGACCCTCTTTCAGAGCATTTCATAGTCTTAAGAGTTTCTTAAAGGCTCAGCTATTATAGTAATAAAGAGTGGGCTAGACTCTAAAGTGATGTAGAAGCATATACGCACTCTTGAAAGCTTTTGTGTACCGTTTCACACCTTGGTAAAGCTCTTAGAGAAAATTTTTTGAAGGTTCCAAAAGGATCTAGATTTTAGATCTTCTGGTCTACAAGACTAGGTAACGGTTGAAGACGAGGTCCCCAAGAACTTATGAAAGCTTCTTAAGGGTCTTAAAGGTTAAATATTTATTAATAAGAGGGGATTTTGAACCTTATAGGCTCGGCTTTTAAAAGAGGAGAGTTTTAAGCACTCTTAAAAGCTTCTGGAATATTCTTGGAGATTCTCTTTGAAGCTGTTTGCAATCCTTAAAGACGTTTAAATGGCTGTAAAGGCTCTTCATTCCTTGGATATTAAATCATACTTTTAAAAACTAGTAAAAGCTCTTATGAACCTTAATTGACGATCAGAGGCTTTAAGTGCTGTGGAGACGATTGAAGACTCTTAAGACAAAAATGTTTGGCGACTGAAGGAAGTTCTTAAAGACTGATAAAGGCAATTAAATGTACTTTAAGGCTGTAGTTTTAAGAGGACGCTCCTTGAAATCTTTTTCTTGAAGACTCTTTCAACCGCTTGAAGGCTCTTGAATACCCTTACAAATTCTTTAATGCTATTAAAGAGGAGAACACTGTGGAATACATCAGAAAACCCTAGGAGAGCCTTTAAAGGTTATAGAAAGTTCTTTAGAGTCTCTTGGAGATTTTTGGAAACTTTCAAGTGAAGGCTCTTACTGGTGGCTAAATACTTTTACGGTTTGCAGACCACTGTGCAAGGTGCTAGAGCCTTTTGAGAGTTCTGTTGTTGGAAGACTCGTTACGAAGTGTTTATCCAACACTCATTAGTTTAGTAGTATGTCCATTATTATGCTCCTTACAAACACGTAGTGCTAGTAATTGTGCACTAGTGAGATAATAATTATTTCACTAGTGGGAGAACGATCCTTTATATTCTGAAGATCAAAGAGCAGATCTTAAGAAACCTGCTTCTGGAATAGGTTGGAAGACTCTAAGGCTTTCGGACACTGATTGCACTCTTAAAAATCTTTGAAGGTCCATAAAGAAATATAAAAGCTCTCAAAGAGCTGCATCTCTTAACTCTATTAAAGCGGACTAAAGATTATTATTAAAGAAAATAAAAAATTTAGTGTTTCTTCTGCTGTGATTTCTTCTGTGTGCATTCTCATTAAGAGATGTAAAAGAAAAGGTAATCTAAATGCATCTGACAAAGTCATACTGAGTGAAGTGAAGATTTGTGGTGGAGCTTCATCGGACATGTTTCGTGTTAGGGCATATTGGAAGCACATCTCTGCTATATTAAAAGGGCGCAACGTCCAAAATAATTAATAAAATCTTTAATTTCGGTTTAAAGTCTGATACAAAAAATAATGAAAAGGTCTAGGGGAACTTCAACACGTTGAATAATGTTCAACTGTTGTATCTAGTGTAATGTGAGAGTGAGCTTAATGCCTCCTGGTAGGCGAAAAGCACTTACAATTACGTTCCGTCACTTTAGAAAAGTAGGTGAATTACAAGTGAGTTCTCTATTATATGAGCTTGGAACACGGTTTTAGTTTACCTAACAAATAAAGGATAAGGGATAGCTTCGAGTCGGGAATGTGTAGTGTATATATTATGTGTCATTATGTCTATAAGGTTCTACATGAAATTTCAATTTATGAGGCTGCACAGAATTAGTTTGCTGTCGGTGTAATTAAATGAGCTTAATTACAACCCGGATAGTTTCACAAAGAATTTCATATACATATATCAATACCTCCGCCCCGATAATATAATTAACCTTAAAGCCAGCAGGTTCGATCTAAGAGCCGAGCTTAATAGAACCATTATAGGACCTGTTAGTTTTCTCCGCCAACTCGGATGATGTCAGTCAAACTCCAGTAAATGGTTTATTTGAAACATAATTGGCCCGTGAAATTGACAAAGTTTTTACATTAACGCGCACTACATGCTATTCTATATATACAAGAGGGGCGCCCATAATCCCAATTAGAATGGCAACCACTTAATAATCTCAAAATGTTAAATTAAATTGCTCCGCTTCTCACGTCGTTAGTTTAATGATAAAATAGTAGGAGTATAAAAAAGAAATGGCGGTAGAGATTTTTCTAATTTATTTCGCGGGTCTCTCTTCATTAGAACTGGCCCGCATTTTGATGGAGAGAACGCAGATAATAGAAAAAATTGTTTGGGTAGTAAACAAGGAAATAATAGAGGACATTATCGTACGCGCGCGCGGCGTTAGGAAAATACAATATCTTTGATGTAATAGCTTGTGAAGGGAAGAAGCGTAATATTTATATATCTATTATGCTACAAGTAACAGAGAGGTGGTATGTACTGGTTTCAGAATTAGCCATAAAAGCCATGAAATATGAAACTAACAACGTTTTGTGGTAAGCGATGTGTTGCACGGAACCCACAGTTAAATGATGAGGCTGTTTAACCTTACGGTTGCTATTTTGTCTGTAGTTCGCCAATGGATATTTAACTGGTCGTTGTACCTGGATCAGCCTTGAAATATAATATTTTTAGTAACCTATTTTTGTGCTTTCTTAATAATGAAGCTTTTTAAGAACGAGTTTTCTATTGTGACATTTATTAAAATCGATCGTTTTCGTTGCAGGAGGCCTGAAATTCGACAACCGCAAGTTGGTCCGTTTTAAAAGGTAGGTGGTCTTATAATAATGAGACTGAATCATTTTGAATGCATTTTTAAGTACGGGCTTTGCTTTTGCCCTGTCTTAATTGAATGAGTGTATATACAGAATACAGGGTGTCCAAGTAATTAATGTTCATACTGCACTATTCAGAAACGCCCCACGTAAGTGTGGCAACCATGTTGAACAACAAATTGCAATAGCAAACTTTTTTTTAAAATAAAGCACTTTGTAACAAAATTAATTATCCAAGAAAACATTTTGTAGTTAAATATAACAAATCCCAGGGACGTGCATGTCAACAACTGTGTGCTTGGTATGAAAGTAAATGTTCGGAATTCCATCATTGTGGAGAACTCTTCGGGAAATGTGGCTTTTTATAAAATTCAACAAAAAAAAGCTTAGTGTAGTAACTTTAGGACTTAGGACGTGTTGATTGCACTGTTTCTACCAATCCGCCCGTTGATGTACCTATTGATGTCTTATTTTTGACAGTGGTCGTATTGTGGGGGGGGGGGCATCCATCTGCATCCAAGAGTTGTTTACTGTATAGCTATTGGAATACCGTGATGAAAATCCACAACAGTTTCACTCAAAAGTGGAAGGGACATATCCAAAAAAGTTGATAACCAAAGTTGGATGATTAAATATTATTAACAAAGTTGTTGTTTAACCTCATCGTAAATGGTGCTTAAGGGAGGGGGGATTAAAGAGAAGGGGGGGGGGGGATGTCTTGTCCAGACGTTTCAATCGCCCTTTATCTCTCCTAAATTTCAAATAGAAAAGTGGCACGTGATCGAACACCTAACGCAGGATCCCCTTACGTTGGTTGCAAACAACGTTTGACTTGAAGTGCGGTAGGGAAGGAACGCAAAATAAAACAATGAAATTGGGTAAGTTTGTTATTATCAAGATTCTGAAAGTCCGGTAATTTGGTGCTAGTTCCAGTGTCAGTGACGGATGATCGTAAATTATACGATCAACAGCACATTTGAACGATTCGCGTTGAACGACACGTATAAATGTGCTGTGTCTTAGGAGCCGCCAGACTCAAAAGAGTCGCTTTGACCCATCACAACAAGGAAAAAACTCGCTGTGACTAGCACATATAACACTCGTACACCTGCGCATGTGCGATTCTGCCCTTTTATGTCTAAGAATATGTGTACTAAATTTGGTTCCAATCGTTTCAGCCGTTTAGCCGGCAATGAGCGTACCGACAGACCGATAAACAAACAAACATAATCGAGATGTTGATGAAGAGTGTCGATGCACACAGCATACAATTCCCTACCTTGCACATAAGCTGAGTCATACAATATTAAAAATTAAAGTTCGGACCAAGACCATGTAACAAACATCATTGAATTACAATTTATACCCAACATGAAGCTCATAATACGGAACAGAGAACAGTAATTATATACATAACACAAAAACATAATAGAGATATGAACACAGAACACACAATGCAAAATAATATGAAAAACCTCCATGCAAAAATTATTGACTCAAAGCACATAAATTACAAAAGCAATATAAAAATGTGTTAAACACCTGATGGCAAACACAACAAGTGTAAATTGTGCACAATTCTCGTGCAGATAAAGCGCATTTTTTTAAAACCGAAATAACTTAGTAAATGGTTGGCTAATACTGCTATATTTATCAATGTTTACCTTATTGTTAGATGATAAATGGGGAGGAGAGGCTTTTTCACACATAAACATTGAAAGGTCGTCTGGTTCAAAGCTTCGCTATATAATGCAAAAAGAATCAAGGCCTTAGAGTAATTCTCAAAAATATTGCGTTTTCACTTTGTAGGTACCTTCCTCCAACATTTTCGAGAAGTTCACAATTAAGTTTTTACATCGTCTAGACGACCTTTCCGCCCTGTTAGAGTACCCTCCTCTAACACTCCGTTCTGCAGATATTTTAACTGAACTTTTTGACATCACCAGTAGATATGTCTCGTCCTGCCGTTCTACTTCCTTTTCATGAATACCCTCTTCCGACCTTTGTTTTCAAAATATTCAACTTCACGAATAGATGGCGACTGGCGAGACGATTCATTTTGCCTTTGAGAGTACTTTTCGAGGTACTTTTCTCCGACGAACCGTTTTCGAGATATTCGCTCAAAGTTCGAACATCACCAATGGATATATTTCTCAATCTGTTCTTGAGATATAAGGAATTATATCCGGTCAAGAAAAGGGGTCCAGGAGGAGGACACTTTTAATTATACCAGCCCCTCCGCCCCTTTTTGGAAGGGGTTAGATAGAAGGGGTGAAGTGTAAACATGTCACAAAAAACAATCATAGAAGAGGCGCAACAGAATGAATTATTATTCCTTAAGGACCTATGAGAGATCTAAGAGATCTATTAAATCCATTCAGAGTATTTAATATGCGAATTTTGAAGAGCCTTGAGATTCTATGCATCAGAATCTGCAAACGTTTTCAAAAGTGTCTAAGAGGCAGGCTTAGATACTTTCACAGACTTTTAGAGTCCTTTAAGGTTGTGAGAAGCTGTTATGGGTTTTTTAAAGGTCTAAGAGTGTTTAAGAATGGCAAACAAGTCACCAAAACCTCCAAGAGATTCTTTGGGCTCTTTGTGTTCCAGAAGATTCCTTCGTTAAGAGTCGAGCCTTTAAGAACTCTTTGTGAATCTTTGAGAGCTCCTAAGAATCTTATCTAAAGGCTCTGAGAATTTTCAAGATGCTCTCAATAACATTACGGACCTTGAAGGGCCGAGCTTTTAAGGGTCTTCAGGTGGATTTTAATCCAGTCAATTATGACTGTTTTCAATATAATTTGGCAAACAGCAATGCTTTATAGATTCTACTTGCTCTCTTCTTCAAAGTTGACGCTGTACCAAGAATTTCATTTACCCTGAAACCATTGAACCCTTAAAATGTAATGAAACATTTAAAAGTAGCCATAACTACTACAGAAAAGTAAAAGTCACACTGGGATAAAATATGAAGAACACATATCACTTCCGGAATCAACGTAGTGACACAGCACAATAATTTTTAATGAACAACTGCATTTTGTTCTTCACTGAATATAACCTTAAATCAATTGTTTACTGTATTAATATTGCGAATATTGAGAAAACCGCTTGATAGTAATTATATAATTACATCTGTCATCATCACGTCGACATAAAAAGTAGAGTTTATGACTTTATGACCACATAAAGCAATTTATTTATCTACGATGGTATACTTAAAGTGGGCAGGGTGAGATTATCACAACTGTTTTGCACTCTAATTTACCTAAGGATTACGTTATGGTATCCAAAAGGAGCATCTTGTAGCCTAAACCCCAAACAAAAAAGTTTTACGAAAACCAATCGACTGTAATTGTTTCAAATAATTAAAAAAAAAACAATCATAGGAAAAAAACGTTCTTTGAGCGGGGACGCCGGCATCACGAGTTCATTACATTATCGATACGTTTACATGATATTGCACACGTAGTTGCGGGTTTTTACGATTGAATCAGATGCATGACGATTCATAAATACTTACACCTGCATTCGTCCTAAACGACTTCCTTGTTTGGTTTCTAATGAACGATTTAATAAGGTAGTGGCAATCAGTTGAATGGGTTATTAAATTGTGTTAACTTTTGTTCAAATTCGTGATGGGATTTTCGATTTTCATTCTAATTGTAATACTCATAATGTTGCGGTTTTATTATTCTTGCAATGAGAGTGAGTTGGAGAATTAATATCGCGTGCATTTCAAACGGAAAAGTGCTCTAAATCTGTAAAGCGAATGCGGTTGTGCAATACGAGGTGACGTAAGGAAAATTCACAATTTGTTTGTTACCTTTGCGAAACTGAGATGAATCACGGTCAAATTGCAAAATTCTACATCATGGATGGAGTACTGATCACAATTGAATACCTTTTACACGTCTTTTACTGGTAGTACCATTGGTCTTGTACCTAAAAACACGCCAGGCTTCTTTGTTTTATAGTTTTTTAGTACTCGTAGGTACATGATTACTGTATAATATGAATAACTTAAACAAGATAGTCCTCTTACTCTTAGTTGAATTGGTTATGTAATCCACGAATCCATTGCGTCCTCTTTCCATTCCTGTTTTGTATTTCGCTTTCAATCCAGTTAATGATTCTAACACTTCAACCTCTGTTGTGAAGTAGAAGAACTGGGTTTCAACAAAATCATGGTATACTTTGATAAGTACACCCTGCTTTTGAAGTACATTTCTTGATCAATTTCTTTACATTTTTTTATCTATTAGCATATATCGTTGGCGCCCGGGGCGCGATATAGTTTAACGCTCTACAGTCTAGGAGCTGATGAACATTTTGAATTTCCTGTCGTTTATTAAAAAAAGATTTCAAATCCTGACTCACTCTGGATTTGAGTACTTTCAGATCGCCTCTAAGGGAATTTAAAAAATAACTCCTGGCAGGTAGGACAAAAATGTAACTATAAGCTTTCGTTTGATACCAAATGTCGTATAGAAACGCCCTTTATTTTAAGAGAGATAATTTTTTGGCAAAATTTTTCTTAGGACACTTTTTATGTAGAATCCATCGCGATACACAGTTTTTATACAGGGAGTTTGGTTTTTCCCATACCACCCTTAACTACATTTTTTTATATGGACCACCCTATATATTTTGGAGTTGCATCTTCGTTTCTGCGTGAGCTTATTGAATCTTGCGAATGGTGTTCACTTGCGCATCGTCAAGATTGTAGCAATATTTGATGCAAAATCGTTTTTTTTTGTCATTTTAGGAAAACTGAAATCCGACAACCGCTCTCTGCACAGTTCGTAGCCTTACTTCACTCCTAGCTACTCTAACGAAATTAGAGATACCTTCTTATTGGTGTAAGAATTGGTCAAATACAATTGTACATAAAAATACCTAATATCAATATTTTAAAGGTAAATATTTGCCTCAAACACATCAGGGATCTCGCGCCCCCCTTACCAACGCCTTGCGCCTCCCAGTTTGAGAAGCAC